TTTAAGGGTTCATTTTGTGCACTTATCTCTGGTGTCTCTTGCATAATATGCTGTGCTGAGTTCAGGCTCAGGTACCTCATCCTTTCTGCTGCCTCTTTTACTGTGGCCTGATAGAATCGTAGTATCATAGAATCATAGTATCACCAAGGTTGGAAAAGACCTCCAAGGTCATCTGGTCCAACTGTCCACCTATCACCAGTAGGTGAATCCACTAAATCATGTCCCTCAGTAGAACATCTAAACATTTCTTGAACACCTCCAGGGACTCCACCACCTCCCTAGGCAGCTCATTCCAGCACCTGACCACTCTCTCAGAGAAGAATTTTTTTCTAACATCCAAGCTGAATCTCCCCTGGTGCATCTGGAGGCCATTCCCTCTCATCCTGTCGCTAGTTAACACAGGTGAAGAGGCCGACCCCACCTCACCACAACCTCCCTTCAGGCAGTTGCAGAGAGCCATAAGGTCTCCCCCGAGCCTCCTCCAGACTGAACGATCTCAGTTCGCTCAGCCGTTCCCCATAAGACTGGTGCTCCTCACAGCTTCACTGCCCTTCTCTGAATATGCTCCAGGGCCTCAATGCTTTTTTTGTAGTGAGAGGCCCAAAACTACTGAAAAATATGCTAAGACAAGAGGATAGACTCTTAATGGTTTGTGTTTACGAATTTAGCTTTTTACTTTGATGCAAACTGAACAGGGAAAAATGTTTCTGGAGGTATTTTGGGGCTCTGAAATGTTGTGAACTGTCTACTGTTTACATGTACTGCTTGACTGATATATATATATTTTTTTTGAGTAATGCATGATCACTGACTGTTCAGAGGTGGAAAGAGCCTTCACTAGTGCTGTGCTGGCTTTCCTGGGGGAGAGAAGAGAGTACAGAACCAAGTGGTTGTTTCTTGTGGAAATACTGAAATTCGTATAGTACCAGGTACTGGTGGGTAAGCCAAAAGGAGCAACCATAACTTAGAAATCACTAACCATAAAACATCTCCCCTAGGCTTTAGAAATACTGATATTGTCTCTCTTACCACATCCCTGTGTGTGCTGGCTGATACATTGATTACTTGTAGCTTGGCATATTGAGTTCCAGTCAGGTGAGTGCAGGTTGGCTTTTTCCTGGTTTTCCAGGCAAAGAAGGATGAGTTGGGTGCAGTGCAAGTCCCAGCTTCATTTAGGCAGTGTTTGGGAAACCAGGTGGTTGCTGGCAGTGTCACTTGACTGCCTGTGGCTCAGGAGAACATGCTTCTGGGTTTTATTTGTGGTTGAATGTCCAAAGGATGTAGAGCGTCCTGACCTTCCTTCTGCTGTTGGGTCCAGGGAGGAGAATTTCTCTGGCTTTGTGGATTCCTTTTTTCTGGACCTGTGATTTTTCCCCTTAGCTCTTGGGTGAGATCAGGGACGTGCACACAGCCGGTGTGGAGCGTGGCTCGAGTCCAGGGACTGTTCTGGTATCTGGCATTAAAATCCATAGCAGAGGAATGTTCCACTGCAGTAGCTGCCTGGAGAGTCGAGTGCCTCTTTGCTTGCGACGTGGTGATTTCTTAATGTCACTCCTTTATTTTATATTTTGTTTAAAAGATCTCTGAAGGTGAGCATCTTTCACGTTTGTATTTGTTGTCATGTGAGTGATCTGTTAGTCCTTCTGTTGATTTAAAAAAAAAATTATACCAAAAAATGTTACATGCCCGTATTTCAGTATTTGTTTCTAAGGTGATCTGTGTTCGACCAGAAGGCTTGAGTACATTTTGAGTCCGCAGCCAAAGCACCCCTGCTTATCTTTCATGAGAGTGAGAATTATTACTTGGTAACTGGGAAATGAGATGTAAGGTTTAATTTGAGTTTTTTTAAGCACTTCCCTCCTTTGTTCTGTAGCGTAGAAGTTCTTGTCTGTGTGACACTCGTTGCTTTTCTTAGCTTCTGCATGGGAACGAGTGGAAAGTTCGAAGTGTAAAAGTAAATTCTCAAATCCAGACCAAAAGTTCCACAGGCTCATTTGCAAAAAGCCTGAGTGAAGATAAAGGAATTGGAAAGAGGCTGTTTTTAGCTGCTCTCTGTGCGGCATTTCCATCATGTTCCTAATGACAGCTCATCTTTTCTCATCTCTCTTTCCTTTACAAGTAGCATCTACTTGAGGCAGTTTTCTGAATTTCTTTTTTGAACTATTCTAAGGAAAAAATATTATCCATTATGAAATATATTTTTTTTCTTTTTGTGTGTTAAGAAATAAATTAGTTCTGGTTTTGGGTTGCCATGTCATTCATTATAACTGGTATTCTGAACCTAGAAAAGGGCATTGGTATTCTCATGAATTTCTTACCTTCATATCTGATCTTTTCCTGATGTCTCCCTTATTCTAGGCATAATCACCATAGTTTTTAAGGTGAAGTTAGAAAAGGGACAAAACTGAACCACGTGTGCATCTCCACCCTCCCAGGTGGGCAAGGGACAGATGATGGCTGTTTCTCCAAGCCATCTTTCAGCCTGGGCTCTCCCATTTCCCACAGAGGTGGCACTAGCACAGCAGTGCTGCATCCCACGCCAGGTGGGCACCAGTGGAGAGTGCATAGCATGCTGCTCACCCTAATGGCCTGTCTTCTGGGCACAGCGCTCTGTGATTTGTTGTAGCTCGGTGGGTTCTTATTCATGGTCGTTGCAGTTAATACTGCTGCAGAAATCAGGCTGCAATCCGGCATTATTACTGCGTGGGGCTCTTACCCTGGGTAACTGCCGCTGTCTGCTGTGATGGAGGTGTAAATCTCCTGCCTGAGCTGCTATAAATCCATGGCTGAAATGCAGCATCTGTAAATGTGGTGTTTTTTCTCACTGTGGAGCGGTTAGCAGAGGTGTACAGTGGTGGGTTGTTTTTTTTTTACGTTTACTGTTTCTGTGTGCAGTCCCCAAAGTAGCCATCTCCTCTCTGCCCTGCCCAGTGCCCAGGTGTCCCTGTCGTTCTGTGCTCTGACCTTGCATTTAACCCCGCTAACTGAACGCTGTGCTCCTCAGCTGCTGTCTTGAACGTGGAGCAAAGAGGTTTTATTGCTGCATGTTTATGTAGGCTATAAAAGACGAGAGTCGTCTGCCATAAGCTTTCAGCACCTTTTAACAGCTGCTCAAAAATTCATCCCAACATAAAAACGGAGCGAACAGCGAGTGCTAAGGAATGGCAATGAGCAGCACTGCTCCCCACATGTACATGTGGCTTCTCAGCATCTCCTGAGGGCCTGCAGCGTGCCCGAGGGTGTGGGCACAGGGCTGCATGGAGCTGCAGCCGCCAGCAAAGGAGGCACAGGGGCAGGTGGGGCCTGCTTCTTCCCAGCAGGGTTGCGATGTAGCACAGCCTGGCTCTGTGGGGGAGAAGCCCTCACCCAGGCAGCACCATTTTAGCTGCTCTTGGTTGAAGCCCATACCTTTGAACTGCAGGAACTGGCAAGATGAGAGCAGTCGTCTCCTTCCCTCGCTGCCTAGTGCTTAGCTCCCCAAACATGTACAAAAAAGAGACCTTCTGGCCTGAGGCCTTTCTGCCTGACAGACAGATTTTTTGCCAGGAGATGTGTGGCTGCAGAGCGCTGCTCTTGGTGTGTGTTGAGGTGGCCCCAGGTTGCTTGAGCCCTGAGCAAGGCTGATTATATGAAGTAAGTTATCTGGTGGGAGCTTATAGGTAAGCTATTAAAAGGATACCTTGTCCTGTTAATCACTGTCCCCTTCAGGCTAAATATCCAACTCTGGCTTTCTGTGTATGCTGAGCTGAAAAACACATGCCTCGGTTACCTTTTCAGCTTCTGGTGGTGTGGGCAGTGTCTTTCTATGAAAGATACATCAAAGGAGAATTTGAAACTTTGAGTACTGAATCTAAATGCACTGATCAAACTCACACTTAAGTGCAAAGGCTGCTGAAAATTTCCACTAAATTAAGCAATTTGACTGCAAACTGTTCACTTGCAATCCCTTCAAAGCCTGTGGATAGGCTTCTCTTATCCAGAAATCCTGTTTATCCCCTGGTCTTTGAATAATCTCAGGACCCATTGTACAGTAACTAATGTAGAGGGTTTATCAAATGGGCTATTTAGCTGTGCTTTTTCTCTCTTCTCTCCTTCCCTCCTTCTCTTTTTTTTTTTTTCTTTTTTTTTTTAAGCATGTGATTTTGTTTTATTTAAGAAATGGAGCTGTTTGAGCTTCAGGTGCAGTCAGGCTGGCAGCTCTGGTACCACAGGTATTTCACCTACCCAGAATTCTGTCCTGAAGTCTGTAACTTATGCTTGTCTTGTGCTTGGAAAAAAAACAGAGCACTTTCTGTTGTTGTTGATTCTTTTATCAAATGATTTTCACATTCAAGCCACTAAAAAAGACAAAGATGATTTTCATTTACCAGTATTCATGTAAACTGCTATTAGTTTGTGTTTAACAAATGTAATGTGGAGTGTTGTTGGATGGCAGGACTGATGGGAATGTACATGTGGTTGTGTTGGTACTTGTTTGGAATGCCTAGCTGGTTCCTGCTGTGATCCTTCCTTTGTTAAGTAATTATTCAGAATTTTCACCTTCTCCACTCTTCATACTTGTTGTATGTCTAAAAACTGATTCCGAAAAGCCTGATACCTTGTTATTAATGGAGCTGGCATGGAACTTCTGTAAGAATTTCTTTCTTATACCTTTGATGGCTTTACAAACTTCAGAGCTACCCTTATGGGTGACCTAGGTTGTGACCAGAAGATTTCAGTGGCATCAGCCTCCATTTTCTGTAATTATTTACAAAGTGCCTTTCATTTTACCTGGACCCCTTTGGGCTTGGTTTTTCTTCCCTTAAAGGTGAACTGTGATTGTGTATTCTGTGGAGAGATAACAAGACTGGGGGTGATCGTTTCCATACACTGTGCCCAGAAGTTCTCCTTCAGGGGAATTTTTCCTTTTCTACTCTGGAATTGGCATGAGCTGGCAGGTCCCTGCAGTGTGTCATCTTCTGATGGTCACCATCAACACCTTTTTTTTTTTTCTTCCTTAGGATGCGTCAGGATGAAACGCCACAGGCATCTGAGCACCAGTGACAGTTCAGACAATGAGAGTAAGTAGCATGTGCTAGTTTTTCTTTGGTCTGTCACCTCCTTGTGGTTTCCTTCTGTGGTTTGAGGGCAAACTGTTTTACCTCGTATAATTAAAACAGTGTTTCTTCGTTGATTTCTTCTCATCTTCTGTGGTCTTCTATGTTTCTAGATCCTGTTTTAGGAGGAAAACGAGACTAAACTTGTGGTGGAGTTAAATTTACTTAGAAATCGAGGCTAAATTTTTCAGAGTTGAGAAAAATAATTCTTTACTCCAAGAGAAACTTTTCTGTCCAGAGAAGTTTTTGCACGGCTCGAGCTGTCTGAAAGTCCTGCTGTCTCATATGCTGAGCCTCAGCCTTAAGACCGAGCTGTTAGAGCTCGTGTTGCAGCATCTGGTTCTTCATCATTCTTCTTTGCTCTGGTGGCCTGGTCGTCTGGTAGACAAGTCAGTGAAATTTGTTAAAAATTCCTTAGCACATCTGGCTGAGGTTGCAGCTTCCTCTTGTGCCTGTTAGGAAACTGTAGGCAGAGTCTTGCTTGTTTCTTTAAAACCTATGGCCATCTCATAATGCTATATTTAACAGTGATTCATTAACATGTTTATTACAGCTCAGTAATGTACTGAACTAACATGTTGCTCTGAGATGTTTAAACATTGCACTATATTTCCTGCCTTTCTCATCAGTATCCTTTAGTGTCACTGCTTTTTTTCACGTTGCTTTTCTAGCACTTGCAAGCTCTGTCTCAGTTTTGCTCCTCCTTCCACTTCAGATAGAAAGGCAATGAAGGGCAGTGGTCTGCATGTTTGTTCTGTTTATTCACACTTGTACTGATCAGAGCAGAATGTACCCATAAATTTGGAGAGCTGTGGTTTTACAAAGAACAAATGGAAAAGGAGGAGCTGTATTCAAGCCTACAGGCTACAGAAGAGCTTTTTGCCCATATCTTATCAAGAATTAGATAAGTCACGAGATTGGAGTGCCTTGTGTTGCACTGAGCGATTGTGAATTGAAATTAGTTATAATGGTTCTTTTTTTGTTTGTTTTTTTAAACAGGTCCTTCCACTTCCTTTTCTTCTTGTGCTAAATACAGGAGCAAGTCAAAAACAGCAGCAAATGAACAAAAGAAACCTGCTGAGGTAAGAACCAAGCTTAAAGACTGGTTACCAGTGTTTTTTGTCATGTCGTTTTCAAGTTTCTATGCCTTGAAATAGTGAGCTTTGAACTGGTGCCAGCTCATTCTTTGGTTACCTGTTGCCTCCATGACACTGTTTTTCCTCAGTGTGTGATTAATACAGGAACTCCGGCATCTTATCATGACTTATGGCATTGCAGACAGTGACATGTAGTTCTTTCTTCCCCTGAAATGTAGACTCATGTTGATACTGAAAAAGCTGGTCTGGTCTTGTGATTTGAAAGCATGCTACAGAAGGAAGTAGCTCGCATATATGTGTGTATAAGAAGGATGCCTTCTTTCTGCTTTAGAATAGAACAGTGGGACACCCCAGTGGGTGAGTTACATAGGAGCAGTGCTTACTCTCCTGCCACTTTCTCACTATTCACTTGTTCCCTTCAGTAAGAGTTTTATTTTGCCTTCCCTGCCTATCAACACCTATCACCACTCTCACTGGATCTGCATTTGCTAATTGAGTCCTTTTCCATTGGTGTTTATGTACAATGTAGTACTGAAATCCATCCTAGCAACGATTCCCATCTGTTGCCCTTCTTGGGGAGGATTTGTTGGCTGCCTTCTCCATATTTGATGCTTGCTTTCTTGAGGGCTGAAGTCAGATAACTGCAAATAGGAGAAATGTTTCTTGTAGTTAATTCCCTCTGCTTGCTGTCACATTCCCTCCAAATGAGTCCTTCAGCATGCTGGTATGACTGTTGATGCCCGAGGTTACTGAGAAAAAGACTGACAAAACATTTCTTCTGTGGAATGTAAAACTGAGAGTTATGTCCCAGAAGTAATTCTTTGTACAGTAAGAGCAGGTTTTCAGCTGCTTACGTTCTACTATGAGAGGCTGTGTAAACATAAAGCTTGTGTTCATATACCAAAAGCTATTCAGCAAACATACTTCATGCTTCCTTTTTGAATGTTGCCCAGTAGACTAATTCAGTTTGATAAAAGGTAAACGTTCGAGAAGTGTCCTTTGTTTTGGAAGCTTAATTTTCATTACAAGTTAATTGAAGAGGATGTAAAGATTCATTTTGAAAAAGGGAATCCTGTGTGAATGTTTCAAGAAGAGCAAAATTGGCCAGAACTGACTACACAGTGTTTGTTTGCAGCCACCGAGAAGGTTAAGAAAAGTCTATTGTACTTTTTACCTTTAAAGTGTTTGAGGATTGTGGTTCTGTGAGAATGTAAATCTCAAAACAGCTTGTGGCTTTTGAGTTCTTGTAATCATTGCTCATGTTTCTCTTAGCAGTAGCTTTCTTACTTGCCAAGCTGGGCAAATGGGAACAGAAACAAATCCATTTCTAGACTTGCTGTTTCAAATACACTTTAGCACCAGTCCCTTCACCCTGCCTTGCTTTTTTCTGCCTAAAAATTGTCCTGTTACTGTTTACTTTCCCTTTTCTCCATACTGTGTGGATGCATAAACAATAATTACGAAAATGTGGTCCATGAATACAGCTTGCAAGTGTTCTTGTTTACATAACTTCTAGGAGGAATTAAAATGCACAGTGTTTTCGGTTCTTCCTTCTGTGATCTTCCTTGCTGTTTTCTACCTGCTTCAAGACCAAATTTCAAGCCCATCGAAACTTGAAAAATACAAAACTTTGAAGAACAAAGCCTAGAATATACACTGAATTTTAAAAGTGTATGTCATAACATCATCATTCTTATAATGCTGGCATCTTTCTTGCATCTTTTATTTAAGAGCCCCCTCCCCAGTTTAAAAAATAATTTGAAAAATCAAATCTTAGAAGATGTCCTCTTTTGCAAGAGTGTCCCAAGTACAATATTGCAATATTAAAGATTAAAATTAGAAAAACAAAATGGAAAAAGTAAAATTCTCTGAGAAGGGGACTGGTAGGGAGGGTGGCAGTAATGATCTCTACCCTTGGTACATAAGACTCTTGGCTGTCCTTCCTGTTTTTCCTTTCCTTCTGCTGGGAGCAAGTGTTCCTTCCAAGCCCTAGAAAATCATATGCTGGAGATTGCATGCAATGGTGCATTGCATGAAGCGCTGTTGTCAGCAGAGCATTGCAATTTATTATTAACACACCAACTAGTGACAAGAGTGTAAAGCAAAGACTGACCCTATCACACACCCTTCAAAAAATCATGTTATGGTAATTCCACAAGCTTTTTGTGCTAGTATTGGATAGAAATGTGAAATTTCGGGCTGACAGCATCCCTTCAGCAAGGGATCTCTTGAGCAAGTTGGCAGTGCTCTGCTTTCATTCACCTCTGCTTGCCAGGCAGCAGACTGTTTCTTGAGTTAGTGATGCAGAAAATCTAAAAGGTCAAAGCTATAAATAGCTGTTTGGGAATTTTTTTGCTCATGGTCTTCATACATTAATTTTTCTTTCATGCCAGTAAGCCTGGCTTTCTCGGTTATATTGCATGTGGATACATAGGATTTTCTCCACCTTCTCAGCCATCTCTAGATTATTATCTACTACCTGGGTTCTCTTTCCAAATGAAAGCTCATTTTCAGAATTGTGACTGACAGTCAGGTTAGCATATTTGTCTGCTGCTCCACAAGACTCGTTTGTAGCTGCCTTGCTCCTCTGTGGTCGCCTATAAAACACCAAAGGTGGGTGCAGCTGAGGGCTGCGCACCTTGCCTCTTGGTGGAAGGAAGGAAGCAGATGCAGGCAATGGTATCAGGGGAGTGAGGTTCATAGAATGGCTTAGGTTGGAAGGGACCTCAAAAGATTGTGTAGCCCCAACCCCTGCTGTGGGCAGGGCTGCCCCCCACCAGCTCAGCTGCCCATCCAACCTGGCCTTGAGCGCCTCCAGGGATGGGGCACCACAGGTTCTCTGCGCAGCTGTGCCAGCGCCTCACTGTCCCCTGAGTGAAAAATTTCCACCTAACATCTACTGTAAATCTCCCCTCTTGTACTGCGGGACAGGGAATGGTGTTGGAGTGCAGATGTCCAAGCCTATTCTCTGGGCCTGCCTATCAGACGTTTGCATCTGCGCAGAAGGGACGCTTCTGAGTGGGACCTTCTTGTGTCACCCTCCTGTTCGGAGAAGATGAGGAAAATCTAAGATGATGCTGCGGAGCAAAGCTCCAGCTCTTTCTCTTGTGCTCCTTTTGGGTTGTAATCTATTGCAAGCAACTGAAATGGTGTCTTGACAATTCTGCTATCCAATTAGCTTTAGCATTTACTTTGAATAATTAATATTAAGGCATCAGGCAGGCCTGCAGTATATGTCTGAACAGTTTTTGAGAGCTTCATGATGGTGTTGGCTGTGTGCCAGTTGCAGAGCTGCCCCTTATGGACCTGAGCTGAGACAGGAGGGGCTCAGCTCTGAACAGTGGGCTGCGTGGGAGTAGCAGGTTAGGAGCATTTGGATGTCTGGCTCAGCATGAAACCTGTGCTTTGCTGTTTCCTGTCTCCTTGGAAGCTGCAGCAGAAAACGATGGCAGAATAGTTGGAATCATTTTTGCAGGGAAAACCTTTTAGCTGGGCCATCCTGAAAGGCTGACTGTTTCTTTTGCCTTGAGCTAGTGGGGGCACAAAAGAGCCAGAGAGATTTATATGACACTCAAGCTTATATATTATTTTTTAGTACTTGCTCCATCTTAAAACTGTAGAAGGAGTTAAGTTAAAATCGTGGTGGTTTTCTGTCTGGAACATACCCATATAAGGTGGCAGTATTTTACCTCTTTTTGCAAATAGAGTTTTGAATCCCGTGGCAATTGTAGTTCTTGGTCCCTCATTGCTGATAGTGACAGCTGTGTTATCATGTGAAATGTAGCTTGTCTTCCACAAGAAAATGGCCTGCTTTCATTACTTGCGTATGTGGAACTTTTTTTTAGTGGCGTTTAACTGTCACATAAATTGTAGGTCTTGATCCTGAGGAGCACCCTGTAAGATTAGACTGCGAGCAGAGAATGGATTCTTTTGGCAGTTTGAAAGCGGTCATTTTTGTTCTGTGAATGAATGGACGCCGTGATTAAATCATATTGCTTGGCGTGTGCCATGCATAATGGAACGGGAGACTGTCACCTTTCTGTGTGCACCTACCTTAGAAGATTCTGAATTAACTTTAACGACTCTGTCATCTTTGCAGCCTTCTCAAGACCGCTGGTCAACATGCCTTGTGCATTTTGATGAGCTCCGTTTTAGCCTGTGTGGGCTAGTTGATTTTGAAGAAGAACATACAGTACTTTCACGTGCATCAGAAATGCAACCTTGCTGGTTATTTTTTTTGATCTTTTCGCTTTTAGCAAAGGGTGACCAGAATGCTTAAGGGCATGGAAGAGCCTGCTTGTGAAAAAGCTGAGCTGTTTTGCTTTTGGAACTGGATGAGTAGGCAAAGCAGTTAAGTATAAATGGTCTGGAGAGAGCAGAGGTAGAGCTTCAGTCCTGCCTGTCTTTGTGGCGGAGGAACTGGGAAGGGCAAGACAATATGAACGAGGCCAGAAGTTAAGAAGTCTGTTGCAATTAATAGGATATCCTTTTGCATGCACCATATAATTAGACTGTGAAGCTCATCTGCCACAGGAAGTTGTTGAGACTGAGAATTAAACATGATTATAAAAGGAATTGAACAGATGAGAACGAGTACAGATTTTTCTAAATATCTGTTTAATTAATACCATTTTGAAAAATTGATTGTTAGGATTAATTCCCAAATCCAAAGCTTATGTCTGAAGAAAACCTGACATGCCCTTACACAGCTCTTGCACGTTTTTCTGGCTCATGAGATAACACTGTCAGAGACTTGATGTTAGGTATGGTTGATTTACTGTCTAATTTCCTGACTTTTCCTACATACATCTGTAAAGGAGGCTCAGAAGACTTGTGGCTGCTCCATTGAAAGATGCAATGTTTCATTTTCCCAAGTCTTGGATGATACATAAAAATAGTTTTTGGGAGTGGGAGTTTGAAGATTAGGATTTACTGCAGAACTTGTTCAAATTATTGAGATGTTTGAGAAGCCCAGGCACGATGCT